TTTTATATAATTAATAAAAACTCACACAATTGAATTTTGACAAAATTTATATTTATTTAATTATTTATATTTATTTCTCCTCCTTCTAAATCACAAACCACCCGATTTGCAAATATTTTATATAATTAAATTCAATTTATTTTAATTTTTGTATTATTGAATTTTCACATTTTTTCTGCTAATAAACTGGAAATCTATTTTTTGTTAATTCAGTGGGCACATCTAGGTTTTGTTACGTCGATAGAAATAATAAATTCACTCATAACCTCACATTTAAAAATTAAATTAAATTACAAGTTCCTTGCCCCAAGGACGGATCCAGAGGAGAGACCCAGGGGTCTAGGGCCCCCCCAAATATGCCACCAAAAGCTTCAATTTTTTATATTTAAATTTTAATATAAAAACCTTATGACCTAAAGATTTTAAATAAAAACATTAGAATTCTTTTTAAATCACACTTATTAATACAAATCATACATATACCGAGAGATCAAAATAATTTGTAATCATTTTTGGATCCGAAAACGTACAGTTCGGAATTCAAATTTCGGGCAGTACTGTCATTTTCATAATGTAAACTCTAAAACAACTTTTATATTAATAACCTCATTTTTTACTTTTGTCATATTTATGTCATTTTGAGTTATTTACTTTCAAAAATAGTGATTTGTGGCATAATAACGGGTAGGCAGCAGATCTTAATAAATTTCCTAAGACAGATAAATTGTTTAATTAACAAATTTAACAACGAATAAAAATAAATATTATTGTCAAATGTCAGTCATAATGACAGTAAAAGGTAGTTTTTGAACCGAAAACGCCAAAATGGACTGAAATTAGTCGCCGACGTATAATAAGACCGTTCTTTTTTGAAGATAAATCATAAATTTAGTTATCTTTTTGTTCATGGAATTTTTCCTTTCCACTTGTCATTTTATTTGACGTTTCACAGACATACGTTTTCGGATACAAGGACAAATTATCTTGATCTCTCGATACTTCCTTAGTTTTTACTAATTTAAAAAGAAATCAATTGTAATTTTCTTTGGGCCACATCTTAGGTATCTAATTAAATTAAGTTTATATCTCTTTGAATAATGAACTTTACAACTCGCTAGAACACCTTATACACAATTTTCAACTTGTTTTAAAATTCCACACTTTTTGGTTTTTGGGTAATGACGGCAGCGACATTTTTTTTTAATGGAAACTCTCATTTTTTTAGCGAATTCGATAGATAATTGTCGAAATGGCAACACCAAAATATTATGTGTTACATAGTTTAAAGAAAAATATCCAAAAAGTGAAATAATATCCATAAAAAACAAAGATACAATTTTAAATCAAGTTAAAAATTTTGTATTTTTTAAAAACAAAAATTGACCTGTTCGAGCATCCAAACCAAAATATTTTCACTTTTAATAAATAAGATTATTCTATAATTTTGCCGCTCACTGTATACCCTTGTGATTTAAAATTTTTTTAGATAGCCCCCCTCAAAATTAATTCCTGGATCCGCCCCTGCCTTGCCCAAATTTCTTTTATATTGGGCACTTAAATTCTTAAACAACACTTTACAAATCACTACCAAACCAACTGTCAGAAGTATCAG